GCTGTTCAGGCAAGTTGGGCAGCGTCTGTAGACCTCCCCCACGCCTGCGGTTTGAGCGGTTGTAAAAAGCGATCGGCAAACCGATACCAGCGTCAGCCAGCTGATTGTGTGGCCAGCGGCTGCCCTTTGCTGACTTCACTCGAGGCTCTTTATAGCCTAAGGAGAGATTCTTCAATCTCAGAGCCTGTTTCCCATAGCCAGCGGCCATCTTGGATTGAAGGCTTCCACCATGAGGTGAGTGGCCATTTTGTAAGCCCGGGGGCCAATTTATACCCTAAGGGGCTTAATGCAAAAAATTTACAAACAGTTTCTTTCCATCATAAGAGCCTTTATTCTTCAAATGGAGCAAGATAAGGGTCAGGCAGTGTTTTCCCTCCCAGTGGAACAGTCTCTTAAACCCAATAAGAGAAAAAGTCGTAGGCAGCGCACCCAATCAGTCCAGACGGAGGTGGCTGCTAAAATGAGAGCTAAGGCTCTAGCCCCTAAGAAGGCAACTCAGGCTGAGTTGAGGGCAGAAAAGCGCAGACATGCAGCCCTAGAGAGGCAGTTCAACAGAACTATTCAACAGAAGGGAGTGCAACTACAGCAGGTTTCAGGTGATACCCGTGGGCCCCAGCCAAGCCCTTCCAGGGGAGGAGAAGTTATCTATGAGCCTTTCCATCCTCCATCCTGGTCTCCTGAGGCCTTTGCAGTACAATATGATCCTTAGGATCTAAGCAGGCTTCCTTATTTCCAACAGGCTTCTGGGCCCTATGCTCCTCCCCCTCCCTCCAGGCCTCTAACCTCTTCTCAATCTAGGTCTGAAGCCACCTTCACTCCCACAGCAGCAGCCTTCTGCCTGTACCTTTGAGCATAGACCAGAGGATATCCAAGATGTTGTCTCTTTGGCCATTAGGCAGGGATTGGCTGAAGGCTTCAAGCAAGTCCTTCGACCTCCAGAAAGGGTTCAGGCCCTTCTCTCTTCTCAATCTAAAAGTTCCTTGCCTCATCACCCTGATTTACACAGGCCCCAGGACCTCAGGGTCCATTCTTCTCTACCAGAATGGGAGGAGGTTGATGAGGAGGGAAGGGCTTCACTATATGAACACAGTTACTCCTCTCGTTCAGAATGTGAAGAGGGCAAGACTCTCGCCCAGAGCAGACATCCTCTGCATTGGTCTTCAATCCTTCTCTCTTCAGGCCATTACTCAGCAAGGCCTTGGTCACTGCCAAGCTGTCACCAGAGGAAGTGGCTCCCGAGCCACAAGGAATTCCCTCTAGCCAGGGAGACTCACTCTTCTCCAAGCCTGTAGTGCATGCAGGGGTTTTGCCTTCTCCCACTTTGTTACTGGACATGGTCAAGGAACAGTGCGCTTCCCCTTCGGCAGGTCCTCACCCATTTTCTCTGGATAAGTGTTTCTACAACATCAGCGCAACCCTAGACAATAGCCTGGCATTGCCTTCTGTTGACATTCTGGTTCTGGCCTCGCTCTCATCTACTGGCACTCTCACGTGGGCATCCATATGGTGGCTGCACCAACGCCAGATTAGATTGCCTACAACTGACCTTCGGTCTCACCAAGGCCTTAATAAGATTATCGCAGCAGCAGAATTCACTGCAGATGCCACTCTCAATTCCACCAAATTTGCATCTAGGGCCATGGCATCTTCAGTAGCAGCAAGACTGGCTCAGACATTGGCAGGCGGGGGTCACACCGTAAATGGAAGCTGGCTTCAGTTCCATTTGCGGGCGATAAGCTTTTTGGCGATGCTCTGGAACCTTATTGAAACCAGAGATGAACATAAAATTCTCTCTTCCTCTGGGAAGAGAGCCCACTATCACCCAGCTCCTTACACTGGTAAACAGCCCTTTCGGGAGGGTGGGGGGTCATTCCTTCCATCACTCTAAGTAATCCCTCGTTCTCCCCACCCATCGGAAGTCGCCTAGCCTTCTTTGCCTACAAATGGGAGGAGTCACGGCGGATGCCTGCGTGCTCAGCACTATTAAGTCAGGATTACAATTGGACTTCCTAATGCCACCCCCCCCCCCCCCATTTTTTGATCTGTCCTGTCTCTCAGGACATTTCAAGGCAAGACCTCATGAATCAGGCCATTCAACCCCTTCTTGAAATCCGAGCTATTCAACCTGTTCCCCCCTCTCAATAGGGAGGTGGGCTTACTCTAGCCTTTTCATTGTTTCCAAAGCCTCAGCGGGGGTAGTGAACCATCCTGGATCTAAAATTTCTCAACCAATTTGTAAAATACAGGCAATTTAAAATGCAGACTCTGCATTCTATTTTAGAGAGCGTTCGGGAGGGCGATCTCCTCTCTTCCATTGATCTCATGGAGGCTTCCTTCACATCCCCATTTGGCTTCATCATCGCCAGTTTCTCCATTTCTGTTATCAGAATACCCATTACCAGTATCGAGCACTTCCCTTCGGTCTCTCATCGGCTTCAAGGGTCTCCACGAAGGCTTCTGTTCCAGTGGGGATCCAGTGCTACTTGGACAACATTTTGATTCTGTCCTCTTCCATCCATGCAGCCCGTCGGGATCTGCAGATTACCCTGTCATATCTCCAGAGCCATGAATTTTTCCACTCCCGTCCACTCCAGTGGTTCCTGCTTCCCTACCAACGGGCAGGAACCAGCCACTCATCCATCAAGGTCCCGCTCCCTCCACAAATCCAGAGAACTCTCAATTGGTGGTGTTCCCCGTTAATCTGGAAGGGACTCCTTTCAGGGTCCCAGACAGGTTAGTGATAACCACCGATGCCAGCCTCCTGGGTTGGGGTTCCCATATGCAGGGCCAGGTAGCTCAGGACCTTGGTCCAGGTCAGAGCAGGCCCTTCCCATAAATTGGCTAGAGCTCAGAGCCATTTTTCAGGCTCTCAAGCATTTCAGGCACTCGGTGACCGGCTCTCATGTTCTAGTCCTTATGGACAACATGGCCACTCTGGCTCATGTCAACCGGCAAGGGGGAACGAGGGCCAAAGCCCTCATGGGAGAGGTTCGATGGTTGGGGTTATGGGCAGAGAAACACCTGTTGTCGATCTCTGCGGACCACTTCTCCAGGATCAACAACTCCCAGCATGGCTCAGCAGGAGCTTAGTCGACCAGGCAGAATGGTCCATTCCTCCATCTCTATTCAGTTCCTTTCCCTCAGATTCGGAATGCTGGAGGTGGATCTCTTCTCCATTCCTCAAATCGCCCAGGTCACCAGATTCTTCACCAGGTTTTCTTGCCAGGGAGCGGAGGGGACCAATGCCCTTCGGTGCAGATGGCCCAAAAGTCTCCTCTATGCCTTTCCCCCGCTCCCATCATTCCGGCAGTAATTCAGAAGATGTTGGAGGAATGAGCAGAGCTCCTCCTCCTGCCACCCTATTGGCCAAGGACGCCCTGGTTTGCGGACCTGGTCAACCTGTCAGTGGCTTCTCCTTGGAGGATCCCAGCCTATCTAATCTCCCTTCATCAGGGGATTCTGCTCCACCCAGAGCCCCAGTGGCTCAAGCTGACCATGTGGCACTTGAGCGGCTAGAGGTGGCTAGCGGCTAGAGGTGGTTGATCTTCCTGAAAGGGTCATCATCACTATCCTGGCATCTTGCAAACCTTCCACAAGGCGCATCTATGATTCCACCTGGAAGGCCCTTTCCTGATGGTGCTTTAGGGAGGGTCTCTCTCCTGCTTCAGCCCAGTTGGCAGAGGTTCTTAGATTCCTTCAGCATGATCTGGAGAAAGGTTTGGCCCCCAAAACCTTACGCAGGCAGGTTGAGGCCCTCTCCCCGGTTCTTTCATGGGGTTCACTTCCTTCCTTATCCCATCACCCTTCAGTCAGGAGGTTTTTGAAAGGGGCTTCCAACCTGCACCCACCGGTGGTTCATAGGTATCCTTCCTGGGATCTTCATGTGGTCCTTAATGCCCTTACAAAGCCCCCCTTTGAACCCCTTAGAACATTGTCTCTCCATTTCCTGTCTCTGAAGGTAGTGTTCCCCGTTTCCATCACTTCAGCCAGGCGGGTATCCGAGCTTGCTGCTCTTTCCATCAGACAGGACCTTTGTTCCTTTCACGATGATAGGGTTGTCCTCAGCCTGGACCCCTCATTTATTCCAAGGGTTAATACCTGGTTTCACAGGTCCCAGGACATTGTGTTGCCTGACTTCTGTCCTCTCCCGCACCATGAATTAGAGCGGCAGTGGCACACGGTAGACGTAAGAAGGGCTCTTAGAATATCCATTAAGCGCACTTCCTCCTTCAGGAAGTCGGAAGCCATTTTGTTTCCTTTTCCCTTCTCACTTGGGGCACAAGGCCTCTTCTCCTACTATTAGCAGGTGGGTCAGATCTTGCATTGAGCAGGCCTACAAAGCTGCGGCCCTTCCGGTTCCTCGAGGTCTGACAGCGCACTCTGCCAGAAACGCAGCCACTTCGGCTGCCTGGGCGACCCAAGCACCCTTGGAGGAGATCTGTCGTGCGGCCACGTGGACATCTCCGTCTCCTTTCATCAGATACTACCATCTGGATGTCTTTGCCTCGGCAACTGCAACTTCGGCAGACGGGTGCTTCAACGAGTGGTTCAACAGTCGGTGTGATGAGCCAGATGACCCACCCGTGGACATGCAAGCTTTGGTATGTCCCATCCTGGACTCTCAATGCAGCATGGAGGAGAATGGGCGTTGGTAGAAGTAACCCTGAATGCCCTTTCTGTCTATGCTGCGAGAGAGCCCAGCCCCTCCCTTGATTCGTCCAGAGAGGGTAAGTCATATTTCTGTATTCATTTGTGCTTTCAGAGACACCTTTCAGTCTATCAAGTATCTTCGCCAAAGCTGGGGTCTCTTCCGGGGTCTGGCTTTTATATCTTAGTGCAGACTCAGCTAAATGACGTCATAGGAAGAAGTCAACCCATCCTGGGCTCTCGCAGCATAGATAGAAAGGGCATTCAGGGTAACTTCTGCCAACGCCCATTTTCCACAGCCTACCTATACACAGCTGCTGAAATCTAGAAAAAAATAGCATGATTCACTTCAATCTGTGAACAATAATGACAAGTGCAACAAAAGTATTTTTACTGGCTTCTCTCATAATTCATTGGCTCAGTGCATTCCTCTCCATTTGACAGTCTACAAACAGAACTCAACCCATGCAGCAAAAGCAACCTGTTCTTTGAAGTTAACTTGCTGCCTGAAAACTAAACATCAGCAAGAGCATGCATATAGCACACACCATGACTCAACAAATAAACGAAAGCTACAGTTTTAGCAAAACTTTCTAATAAACATTGCATGGAAGAGACCTTTCCATTTGCGTAAAGACTGTCAGTGAAAGAAAGTACAGAACAGAATGCATTTGTAGGCACAAAAAAAGCATAAACAGACTTTCCAGTAGCTAAAAAGTTTAAAGAAAAAAAAAAACACTAAATTTATCCCCATCTTGCATCATACACTTGATCATTGATACTGTCACCTGCCTCTTAAAGGTAAAGGTTCCCTCGCACATATGTGCTGGTCGTTTCCAGTTCTAGGAGGTGGTGCTCATCTTCGTTACAAAGCCGAAGAGCCAGCGCTTTCCGAAAACATCTCCGTGGGCATGTGGCCAGCATGACTAAATGCCGAAGGCGCACAGATGTGTCTTAAGTATGGGTTAAAATAATGTCATTTCCTCCTCACCCTCTTCCTCTTCCTTTTGTCTCCTAGTCTGGGCCAGCAATAACGCAGATGCAGCTACAGTTATTTTGATAGTTATGCTGGGGAAAATATATTTAATTTATAATTTAATTATATACTTATACAAATTATATAACTATAAAATTATAATTTAATGTATAAATGAGGTGATATCTTCAGGATTTCAGAATATGAATATTTGAAAAGCTTATTCTGAAGGAAGATATTCTGAAATCACAGTTTTATTCTGTGCTCAGAACAGTTAAAAACCATATTTTGGATTTAAAAGTTTACAAGCTTGGAATGTTTTAACTTCATTACAAGTGGAAGCACCACAAATAGCTGTTATTGAGTGATATATTTTTATGTTTTTAATGTAATAAAAATTCAGTAAAGTGTATTAAAAAAAACAAGTGGATGTTGCACCCATTATAAAAAAATAAAAGTTACATATAATGGCTGGGTGTGGGAAACACAAAACATAACTTTTTAGCTTTTTGTTACATTGAAATTATACTTAGAAGATGTATTTAAAATTTAAAAATCAAGAATATAGAAATTATTAATTTAATCATGTTTCTGTGCCTGTTTAGATTGTGCCTTTCAATCTTTTTGGTTCCTTAGAGGTTTTTGTTGTTGTTCTGAATGTCAGCAATCTCATTAATACTCTCAAGCTTAAGTTTGCTTCATGTAAACATTCTTGAACTAAAATCACAGCTATGATTTTATGATTACAGGTATAATGATCTAAGAAATGCTGATCGTAAGGGAGAGCATAAATCAAATTAAATCTTTATTATATTGGTAGACCAGCAAAAAGGGAGAGCATATAGCATGTTATAGAAGCCAGGGATGGGGGCATATATTGACTCAGTGCATGTGTATGCAAATATGAAGCACATATGGCTCTTTATAAGTTGTACACCTTAAATCCTTTAATCTAAATAATTTTGGTAAATAGTTTAAATACTTTACCCCAGACTATGATTCTGAAACTAGGTAAGTGGGTGTATAGACGAATGGATGGACTGAGGGATGTGATAGTAATTTCTTTTATATATAGTTATGTATATATATTTTTCTAGGCTTTTTTAGAGCTGGCAACAGAAGAAGCTGCTATTACTATGGTAAATTATTATTCTGCCGTGACACCACATCTTCGCAATCAACCTATATATATTCAGTATTCAAATCATAAAGAATTAAAGACTGATAATACACTTAATCAGGTAACATTATTATAGTTTTTTAATGTTGTGACTAATCTGTATATGTAATTACCAGTATAGTTTTTCTGTATTTATAACATGTTTAAGAATATTGGGAATTTATATATATATATAAGCGAAATAGCACTCATGCATCATCTCCAGAACCGGAATGCCTACAAACTTGAAATTTGGCACGTATGTTCCTCTTGACTTCTAGGTGCTCAGAAAGGATTTTTTGAAATGAGCATCAAAGCATTAGTATTTCATATATTATTATTAACACACTCTGATGCTAAGGAGTTCTACTCCCACCTGAAAAGAAATTTGTTCCAAATGCAAAACACAAGCAGAGGAGAGGAATTTCAGTTTTAGTTTCAAAGCAGCAAGCAGCTTTAGTACAGAACAGTTGAGCTAAGCAATGCCCAGGCTCCTTGCTGTCTCATTCTTGCTCACACAGTAAATACTATTTCAGTTTCCAAACAGCCCTCAACTCTCTCACACTCTGACAGGACGCTAGCCAGATGAATACCGATGGATGCTGGTAGACAGAGGCACATTTCCGTCCCCCCTTATTTTCCAACCCCAAAACTAAGCCCCATCACATAGTTTTGTAGCGAAGCACGGGTATAGAGCTAGTTATTTTATAGTTATGTAGTAAATATGGCATTTATTAGTAGGATCTAAGCATGTTTATCATTAATAATCTTTCTGGCCCAAGAACTCAAGTTAACCTGTAAAAAAATTGTTACTTTGTTAAATAGATAATGTGGAACTGTGTTTCTGGTATGTTTAAATAATTCGTCCAAGTTTTGAAACTCAGTCTCACCTTAGTATGATCTGCTCTTCTGATAAATGAACTTATTGAAAAGACATTCATATTCGCTGTGGGAATAATTGAGTACATAGTTACTTGATTTTGAAGGTATTTAAAATGTATTATTTTAAATCAAGACACTATTCATGCTTCAAAGTAAAACTACAGTTCTGCAGGTACTAACTTCATGGACATTTTAAGTATATGATATTTCTTTTCTCATGAAGGAATGTAAAAACAGCACTGACCCATGCTATATCAAATGGTAATAACTTCTTTGTTTTTTTCTATTACTTTATCATTCTGAACAATGGTTTAACTAGCATCAAGCGTTTTTCTATTCCAATCTTCTCTATTAATCCTAGCCTAGATACTTCTCATTTGAAATATAGAAGCAAATTTGTTTTCAATTGGATTTTTTTCCCATAACAGCTATGTCGATGACAATAAACTGGTTCAATAGTGAGGGTGCCTCAGTGAATGGCAGCATCTAGCTGACCTTGGGTTATATCAGAAACTAAGCAGGGTCATCCCAGTTAGTACTTTGATGGGGCATTGCCTAAGAATTTCAAGGCTATATGCTAGATGATGAAGTTTAAAAAAATGTCTTGGAAGACGTTACTGACAAATCAAAAATGCTACATTGATATAACCATCAGCAATTCATTTTAAAAAGTGTTCAGAAGCTGTTTAAAAATTGCAAAATAATTTTAATTAAGGGGAAAATGCTCGGTTCTTGATTATCTAGATTCTATTCATTAAAGACTGATTGGATTACATTTTTTACCCAAATAGAAATGTGCTAAATTAATGCTGAAATGTATTTAAAAGATGCTTCAATTGAAAAAAATATAATTACCTTATTTATATAGGGTAAAATATTATGCCTAAATCCTGCAACTGGTTTTAAATTTGAGGGTTGGCTGCTGGTGTAGGAAATATATATTTTACATTATAGCTTTACACCTTTATATCAACTCTTCTCACCTGAGATGCAATATATTGATTCAATAGTATCATAGTACTATCAATGTGCTAATTATTTTCATAGACGTAGTATCATCAGCAGCTATTTTGTCTTTTGCATGGAGGAGCCTAAACTTTACAGTCATTTGCTGCTGAAACTAAAGTTAACATCTCCTTGTTGCAATTTAATAGGAGAGTTAAAATCATTTATTTACCCAGGTCAATCAGTCTTTCAGTTGAGGTTTACAAATTTTTATTCCACATGGTTATTTGTAAAGTGCCTAAAGCTATAAATAGGAATGGAGTTCGTATGATTTAAAAAAAAACACCATGATATAGGCATGACATTGTAATCACATATTTATGTCCCTATAGTTAAACCAAAATTAGATTAGATCTAACATTTTCTAACAAGATTTATTATTCTTGTCTTTGTTGATATGGTGATAACTACAGTTTTCCTCAGTGAGATGTTTATATTACCTGAATTTCATATAAAAAGGCCAAGTTTTAAGATTCCAAATTTTTTAAAAGTAAGAATCCAGAAAACAATTATATGCCTCAACCCTCCAAAGTTAATATCCTCAGGTTGGATAAGCCAAAATGTAGGACCAGATGGTATCATGTCTGCATCTATCTCTGATGGTTAAAACTGTCACATCCATATAATTGTAAATGCAAATTACTTATATGAGAAATGCATTCCAAATTAGTATCAGCAATCCTTCAGCTGGTTTGCACAGCAGGATACCTGGGGTCCATGCACAAAAGGCTCTTTATCACACAAATTATCCACTAGCCAGCATTAGGGCATATGCAACAATGGAAACAAGTAATATTTTTTGTTATTTAGTCATGCTCATCATCATGTCATGCCACCTGCACTCTAGCTGTCAAACACCATCATTTAATTGTCTGCAGCTCTCAGGAATACCAGAAGAGCCAGAATGTCTTTGAATTGACAACATTCAGATCTATCAGCTGTGTTTATATAATGTGCTGATCCCTAGGTAACTGAACCATGATCTAATGAATGATCCCAATTCATTAGACACAGAACCAAAAATTAACTACACAGTGAGACACAGGTTATTTAAACATATTTTGTCCTAGTGCATTTGGCAAACAAAATCTTTGTATCACTATATCATAACCTAATGCCTTGAGAAGATTGCAGCCTATAAGAAATTTAATTAGAGATCTTAGAAAATATCCATGGATCTTCCAGGGCAGACATTTATGTTTAAATTTTCCATCAATTTGGAGTTTATTAATCACAGTCAAATAATGAGTGTCCATGATAAATAAATTACTGGCTTCAATAATTGAGACTAAACCGGTACAAAAATGAGGCCTAGTGAATAAATCCTGCTTCTGCTGAACTCAGAGTTATAAACACATGGTTGTAATAGAAGCCATAGAATCACGAGCTTTTCCTGAGGAAATTTAATAATAGAATTAAAATCTCCTAAAATTCAGCAGTGGGTTGCATGACACATTTATGCAATCTCTGTCAGCTTCAAGTTCCCAACCAAATATATTGAACAAAACGCCGTTCCTTTCATTTAACTAAATTGGCATTACATAGATCAGGCTAGTCTATTTTTCTTGATATTGATTCAGAGATTCTTAAAGCTTTTCCATTAATCATCTTGGCATTTACTAATCATACCTTCAAAACAAAGTTGAGCCGTCAGTGTCACCAGGAATGTCTAGAAGGGTGAATGAAAAAAAGACATACAATTCATTTTTCCTCAGTTTGAAAATCTGCCTTTCCCTACCATAAAAGTCATTGTCCATAATCAAGTGTATGACAAACATTTACTATACTTACCTGCAAAATAAGTGAAGAATTTGAGGTGCCCAAATACATCCCCCAAATTGCAACTTGCTTAACCATAGATGATCTTGTATAGGGGAGAGGGTAATAATTTTTAAAACACCTGTATATCTCGTATACACTTGTGCATAAGCAAATCCCCATATAAGATGACCATCAATTTTTTTAACCAGAATATCATGAAAAATGAATAATCTGTAAAAATTAAAAATACAGATATTTTGATAGCTGATAACCGTGGGTGGCATATTTTTCATGATATTTTGGTTCAAAATGTGAAGAGTCACTTATTCACAGACTTACACATTACTATAATATGGTATCCTTTCTTTTTCCACCAAACCATTTGTTCCCCTAACCACATTCTATCTTAATACATCTTAAAGCTCTTAAAATACCAATTTGTTAAGGTAAATGTAAGTCTAGCATTCCCAGTGTACTGCACATGGACACCAGTGCACTTTACTTATATGCCAGTCTGCTCCAGACTCCGTAAATTTTAAACAAAACTAAGTGGGAAACATGTTATGAAGAAATTATTTTCAATACTGTTTAATTTATTATGGGTTATTTTATTTAATAAATGTATTAAGTTTATTATAGCTGCCCATTAGGTGACAAAATCCAGAAAACAGAATACATTTGGAAGCACGGATTAAAACAGCCATAGAAATATGACAGGACCCCCATAAATATATCTATCTATCTATCTATCTATCTATCTATCTATCTATCTATCTAT